GGAGAAATAGTGAATGTCAAATAGAATATATAATGTTAGGATGTGAAGTACTACTACATAAATATATAAGAAGCAAAAAAACTATACTTAATTAGGAAACAAATTAGATGAAAAAGACATGAATACCAATATAAAAGACCTCCTAAGTATCATGACAATAAAACCTAGCCAAGTGTATATTCTAGAAGAGGTATCTTAGTAAGCTTTAGGTAGATTATAAACCACCATGATATAATATATGAAGCTGATCTGGCAACCTCAAAATAAAATTCTGTATCTGTTCATTTAGGCCACTATGACTCCTAAATTTCACCTAAATAGCAAGGTCTTAAATACCATGCTTAGAATCTGTGGATGCTCAATTATCTTCTTTAGACTGGGCTAAACTATAAAAACTAGTATCTTTAAGTGAAGGGATCATTAAGGGGCATGATCAAATTTCCACCTCTCTCTAATATAAACATCTATAGTTAGATGCTCTGGGTTTGGATGATAATTTAAATCTATGATAGACACTCAAATATGATTGAATCAGATCCTTCTCTGACAGATGGTTCTTGAAGTAAAATAACTAGAAGTGATATTACTGTTATATTCTGCATTCTGGACCCGGATCTATCATACAAATCATTTCTGGACTTTGGGATCCAGCCAACTTCTATCTTCTGTATCTTTTTCCTTCTCAGTTAGCCCCTGTTTCCAGACATCCAGTTATATCTATAACTGGCTGTTTTTTTTTAAAAAAATTCCATTTCTGTCCTTTGCAGAGCGGAGCTCTATGTAGAACAGTTCTGTCTAGTCTAATCTAAGCTATTGGGACCCCTTGTGTCCCTTATGGTACTGGGTGCGCGAATGCCCTAGTGTGAGGCATGCCTCCACCAGTCCACCGTTTCCGCTGGCCGTTTTAGATGCGCCACCTATTTAAAGATAAGACCTTTGTATCAGTGCATGAGGATGAGATGCTAACAGTTATCATTTATATATGTATACTCAGTCACCAAGAGCGAGCTGATGCAGGACTAGCTGTATTTAATTTCTATTCTCTCTTCATTTCCATCTTCATTTAATTGAGTTCTGATAGACTAGTATTAGGCATTCCATATGCTCCGTCCATAGCCTCACATAGCCTCACACTGCGCTGACTGATTCTCTGTTATGTCCTCTGTTACAAGATGCTGCACAAGCCCCTAGCTACCAGACTGCCCTCTGCCAACTTGCACAGCAACGACACAATATTTGGGCCTTTAGGCCTTGATGACTGATAACAATAGAGAAGAAGCCCGGAATATGCTGGCTTAGATAAGCGGTCTGGACTGCATATGACGACATAGGTCTGGAAGACCTATTTATATTATCAAGATAGAAGGCAAGCCTTATAGTTGCCTCATGCACTGATAGAAGGACACCTCATGGTCCTTATCCTAGATAGAAGCCTGCCTCATGCATGGTATCTCTGACTCGATAGATAAGCAGATTAGAACCCAGCTTCAAGCTGAGCTTAGATATGATAGAGTAGCCTTATATAAGGTCGACAATTAAAGTAGATGTTCCTTACTTTAATCTTACTGGGTTTTACCTTGAACACCTTGTCCTGCTAAAGCTACTTGCTCGACATTCGATCTGTACCTTCAGAAGGACTTGAGACCCCTTCTGCCTGTAACCGCTATCATCGCTCGTCTCCGCTAGCATACACAACTCTTGCTTGTTTGTAAGAGCCGACCTTGGACTCTCAGCATGAGGTATCACTGTTGTGATCGTCGCTGTTAGATCATCCCAGTTCGCACGTGACTCATCGTCGTAACATCCTCAGTAGTATATAAATCCTGTAGATTCTCTGTATTTCCTTAGTTCAAATATTATCTTAGACTCTGCTCATTCCCTCCTCCATTCAACTCGAGTTTCTCCTCTTGTCGTCCTCTGATAGTCTTAGGATCAACTCCTATAGACTTGTCACCTCCACCTCTACCTCCAGTAGTTCTCTGCTGTTTCCTTTCTAGTTTGGACATCGTCTGGATTAGTCTTATCACTTGTTCCTGAATATCTGCTGGACTTCCCACACATTGGACATTGGACTCCAGACATTGTCCACCAGCCTTTGGAAGTTAGGGGCACACACTCAGATAAGGGGCGCAGTGTATGAGTTAAAGCCAAGCCCTTCATATTTGACCCTTGAGCATATTTTTAACAATTACACTATTTTACTTGAGATTGATTCTGAGGATTTAACCTTGGAAGTCTACCACCTAGTGGATTAGAGGAGGTAGTTTTGGGGTGGCAAAGCCAAGCCCTTTATACTAGGTACTATTGGTTGGAAAAAGAAATTGACCTGGGAAGATGAGATTGAAGATGTGTTACAGGCACCATCTGATAATAACAAGTGGGAAAGGAGACAGATGGTACAATATGTTATTAGCAGCTGCAGATAAGATCCAAGGGTAATAGACTAACATGTTATGCTGCAGATATAGCCCAATATTTATTTCTCTTTGATCCCTTATCAGGTCCAGAATAACATCTACCTCTCCTGATAGGTCTAGCCCCCAGGGCTGTATGTACTTGGAAGGTCAAAAATTTCCCAAAGCATCTATCTACATCATTTTGACAATATGCTTTTAACCATCTGATATAACCACTGGCAGACAGTATGAATCTACAGGCATGGTTTTACTAATGAGGGATGCTGCTTCTTTTTTTATGTCCAAGTACCAAGATAGTTCTATTAAGTGCAGCCATTTAAAGTTAAGAGCATGTAGACTGTATCAAATTATCTCAGGGGTGGAAGCTTGTAAATGATTGCTGACATTTATGAAGTAAATGCTTCAGTGTATCTATAGAATAATAACCATTTTTCACTTTGACATATGTAGTGCTGGTGTCTGAGTTATGGTGAAAATAAGTGAGGAATCTGCCATGATGGACAACAATTACCCTCTTATGGGAAAGTTGTCATGGTAGACTTTATCACCAATAGGGTAGTCATTTGTTGTTTAATTCTATTCATTCACAATTTCATGGTTGAAAGTATTATCGTGAGGTCAGAAGTGATAATGCAATAGAATACTAGTTTGAAGCCGACTTCAGAAATGGTAGGAGTCTCTCTTGCATGGACAGTGCATTGAGCATACATTAAATCTTGGAAAGTTCGACTATATTATGTCACCAATGAACTGTTCAATGGTGCTGGCCTTGTATGGGTTCAAATAGTTTTTCATATGTTCTTCTACATCTATATGAAATATAAGATTGTAAGATTTTTGAGAAAGTAATTAAATTACTATGTATTACAATGTGCATGTATGGTGATATGCTGGTAAAAAAAGAGGCGAAAAGCCAAGAATAACTGACCTTATTTAAACAATATCAATTTTTCAAACCTAAGCCCATTAGAGGAACATAATTGGTATGAACCACCCTACCCTATGATTTCAAGACAAATAGGAATATCAATACAAAAATCCTTATCTTCCCTGTGAGAGGAAGTTGACCAGGATTATTGGCAGGATAGAGCATGATGACCTTCCTATGGATTACTGAGTGATAACTGACCTCAACAGTCCAATACCTGACACACTTGGAATCCTCAACAATCCTTGTAAGACCAAACCCCTAGCAACTCCTTGCAGCAAAGCTTTTATGGCCTTTTGTTGATGATACATTCTCATTGAACTGAACTGAATATAGGCTCTACATAATGATTCATCCAGCAGCTTAGCCCAATATGGTCGATGATAGTCTATAACATGAGAAGAGAGTATTATATATATCATAGACTAAGGGGTGATAGGCACTCACCTCTAGATCCTTGTGTAGAAGTACAGACATAGTTTTATTTTCCCACCAAGCAACTTCTAGTTCGGTAATAGCCCTACTCACAACAATTTTATTTCATCAGCATAATGATAGTCAACAAATATAATAGGCACATATTGAGTATCGATGTTAATTACTATTGTATTTACTATTTATTTTGCCTTCAGCACTATATTGAGTATGGAGTTTGATATGAGAGAGAGAGCTGCTGAAATACTGACTGGGTTCGGATCAACGCACCAGTACTCTAGTGCTGAGCACTGAGCAGCTGGCACCCTTACAAAGTTACCTCCCACACTCAAAACCCCTCGGCGCTGCAGCCATTCAGCAGCCCAGTTGTTGATATCTAGTGAGGACAAGAGAGATGAATTACCAAAGGTGGGGCCCTCAACAAAGGGTGGTACCCCTTATGTTCTAGTATCAGTAAGTTCTTTTATTATTTGTAAGGATTTGACTCATTCTGGATCATATAGGCTGCACCAACCATTACCACAGCAGCACCATAGGCAGCCGTGACGGCAGGTCCTTCAACTGAGGATGACTATGTCGATCTTTCCTCACCACTATAGAACCCAGGCTGTGGCAACTATGTACCGCAAGGTGTGATTTGCTGGCAAGGGTACAACGGCTCTGGTGGGGAGCTGACTGTCTGTGCCTGCTGTCACAGGTCTAAACAAAAGTGTGGTGGCAATGGCTCCACCATCCCTATAAAAAGACTCACTTTGTGGTTTGCAGCTCTTCTTTCTACCTCGTCACATAGTTCATGGTACCACTAGGATAGTAATCAAACAATAACTCAAACACAATAGCCTACAGCTGTGGTCCATATCCACAAATCTTGGGCACACCACAATGTTTGGTAAGCAATCCCAAATTGGTCATCCCTATAAAATGACTCACTTTATGGCTGGCAGCTCTGTTTTCCACTTCTCCACATAGTTCACAGTACCACTAGGATAGTGGTCAAGCAATAACATGAACACAATAGTCTACCACTGTGGTCTCTGGTTATAATTCTTGGTCAGCAATCTCATTACTAATCCCTATATGAGGCTGACCTCTGTGTTTGCAGGTTTTTTCTTCCTCATCACATTGCATATGATAACCCTAGTAATAGATTAGTTTAATTCACAAGTATGTAGCTGTTTCATTAGGTCCAACAAAAGTCGTTAACAATTAAGCATTAGAACATGTCCAAATACCCTACATCAACTGAGCCAGAGCAGAATGCCAAACACGTTAGATTTGAAGGTATACAACTCTCAGATATTTTAGGTATTATTTTTATTCATATCTCTGGGGTTCCATCACCATCGCCCCTGCAGGATCCTACTGCTTGAGAGATTCTAAAGTAGTTTCTAATGACAGATCTGACTTATGGTCAGATGGAAAAAGAGTTTCATGCGTACCTCAGTGATCGTCACTGCCTTCTTAATTGGATGCAAGCCAGACTTGTGTTGTGCTCTGGAGATGGTAATGACAAAACCTCATTGGTCAATCTTCTTGCTGTGAAGTGTAAGCACATCTTGGCCATGCCAACTGGATCAATGAACTCTCAATCGAGTTTGGCATCTGGATCATGCACCTGTCAGCATTATTCTCGCATGGTAAGCTGTCATTTTTCAAGTTAGAATTGACCCTAATTAACTCTAGTGTAAGAATCCATATATCGACATTGAAGCAGAACAGGACAACAACAACAACAACAACAATGAAGAAGATGACCAGGAGGAGGAGAATATCAAGATCAAAAATGGCCCCCTCAGATGTGCCAATGTCATGCTCCTACCAGGACCAAAGCATAAGCTCTTCAATGTGATTGATAGGATTGAGCAGAATGTACACAGTGGGAGTAGTAGTATAGTTGATCGACTGTTGCCAGTCGCACCTTGCTTTATTGCCGCCTTGCTACCTAAAAGGATGTATGTGTTTACTATCCATTGTAAGTTCTTTTTTTGGTCAAGTATTTACAATGCTGAATACAATGTAGTGACTATGAGGAAATTCCTTGCCAAGCACCTCCAAAAGCAAGAATTCCCGGTTGTAGTATCCCTATGGATCCCTGCTCACTTATACATGACTTCCAACAATCCTCTCACTATTATGGCTGCTGTTCATGACTCACTTAAGGTCTCCATGAAGAAATGGGACTGACTACACAATGATGAAGAGACCACAGTCAATACCCTGCGCTTAAAATATCCTTACCCAGCCTGGGTTAGAATAAAACAAGGAAAATACATGGGTGCTATAGCATATATCTTTGATTCCGATGTAAAGAGTTGATTCCTGGTGGCTATACAAAAGATGTTACCTTAAGACTCAAAGTGCGAGTGAGATGTTCATCCCAAAGAGACTGCCTGTAGGATTATCTCTTGATATAAAATGCAAGGGATATCTAGTTAAGATCGAAGGAGAGAGAAGGAAAGGATACCTTAAGTATATTCAGAGTTCCAAAGAATTGTCCAAAGTATCCAGTCAAGGTCCGAGGTTGCGTGAAGCTTCTGATGAGCTTCCAATGAAATAGCAAGGTTTCCAGTATAGAATATGGTGATTTGTTGAAGTATAGAACTTTGCATAGTATAACTAGCAATGTCTGTTGAAAGATTCAAGGAATTTAATAGAAAAATGGCAGCAGTTAGGCCAAACAATCATTCCGAATGAACAAAGATCGATTGTGTGAAGTACTAAAATCTGAGAGTGACTCTACTATCTATGACTTATAGCAAGGGAAGTGAAGTGAAGTGCGAGTATTAGCGAGTACTGTGTGAAAGTCCAGAATATGCATAGGCGAAAACTGTAGCAAGATAAGACATCCAAAATGTAATAAGACTCAACATGAGCCACTACGAAGATATACATGTAATAACGCATGAGGTGTGTATCTATATGTATTAGCAAGGATTTTTGACATATGGGCCCCTAGACATAATTAATAACATATAACCAAGTGAAAAACGCACCAGCGAAGTCAAATGGACAAGGACAGGACATGGTACAGAAGACCGGAAAAGCTAAAAAGGCCTCGGAAATGGGTGGATGACCTTTGGACGACTCGGACAAGCGCGCAGAACTTTCGGAAGGTCAGAAGTGTGTTGAGGAATGTAAGATGTGATTTTGACCAGATATGTGCCCAGCCTTGACAGGCTCTACTAAGCAAACATTGTCAAAACTTATGGTAACAGTAATCTGCGAAGATTGCAAAATCTTTAACTCAATGATGTGATTCTTGATGTTACACTTTGCAATGGTTCTTATTCCCCCTCGGTTCTGACCATCCATAATAAAACATTCTTGATTTTTATTTTGGGGCTGAGCCAGAGTAAGACATTTTGGTAGTCCACCCTAGCACCTCCTGCAGTTTTGGCAGTGGCCCATGCTAAGATATGGCCTAGAAGGGCAGGACCATTGGGCCCACAGAATGGATCAGGACAGTGACTATACACTAACTGCTTGAGTAACTTGCTACCTTGGAAACCCAACAAGCCATTAAAAAGGGCATGGTAGTCATGGAACTGCGAGGCATGTGCCTTTAGCCAGCAAATTGAGTCTGTAATAAAAGTGAGTGCCATGTTATGATGAATATCAGATTACTAACCATGTGATTTTAGTGAGGTTGGTTCAATGACAGTATTACTGGAGTTAATAGTCCAGGGATCTTCTGTTGAAGGACTGGCATTGTCATTTTGCAAAGACATTGCAGCAAGGACCTCTGGGGACCAGGTCTCCCAGGTAATGAGCCTATCTTCCACCTCCTTGCACTGACTGTCCAAGTCGAATGCTAACTTTGCTGAACCACCAAATGCGTGATCTGTCATTAGGACCATACAGATTTGTCTGACTAAGTCTGGCATGTTAAGGCAAACCAAGTCGCCAGAGTGCAATAACTGCTTAGAGAACACAATTTTGGACTGTTTGCAGAACAGCGTGTCTCAACCAGACTGGATATGAAGTCAGATGGCATCAGGATGGGGAATGAGCATCAACTCGGTGCAATAGTGGTGGTAGTTTTACTTTAGAAGGTCACCATAGTATTCTTCACCTTTGTTTATGAACCCGACTTCTTCTCCATCGCAAATGATCCGGGACATCAAGATCCAGGTAGGCAGATGCGAAGGGTCAAATAGGGCAACCATACCTTTGGGCATCTCATAGGGGAAGTCTCTGGGAGGAATGAGCATGGTGACAAAATTGTTCATCTGCTCAGTGTAACACTCAGATTAGCCACATATAGAGAATGTACCATATATTTAAGATTAGTTACATTAGCATACCCACTCAACTAGTTACATCTTCATATACATGTATTACCAAACTGAGGTGCACTATTCAATGTGGAAATATGTGAGTTGATCTATGGCAGCCCTGACGGTCAGTGTCATTTGCTCCCCCTCCTAGTAGTCAATAGTTTTGTGTCCAATGTCGCCCTGACGGTCTTATGGCAGGAGTTGCCTTCTCCAACACCCTTGCTTCACCTAATGCTGGAGTAAGTGGTGCAAAGGCATCTCCATCCAAATGGAAAATAGCGCTATGTGAGTTATTTCATTATTACCTATATGCAGAATCCTCATGTTGCATTAGAAGTTTTCCTGGCACAATTGTGACACCTCTAGGCTGTCTCAGTATGGAGGCAGTCGATGTTCTCATATCCATATTCCTTTGCCATGCCTCTATATCTGATGCCCCCCTCCTTCCACACCTGGTCCACTTGTGACTAACCAACTTGAGCAGTCCTCTTCTCCAAATCCTGCTGTACATCATCAATAGTGGTTTCCAAATGCTCATCCTCTCAGACTTGTTCGGTCACTCACAGCCTGTTCTCTCTCGTGTCTTCAGTGCACTTCCATCCCTCCACAACCTCACCTGGCTCAAATTTGGCCAACCCATTTGTGATTTCATTCAAAACATTGACCTTTTACCTAGCCTTCACTTCCTAAAAGTCCCTTTGATTGAGGACATGCAACCCATATTTTTGCATCCCTCGCTACTCCACCTGACAGTGGTCATATATGGCCAACTGTACTTGCCACTGCATACTGTTAAGACCATGCACAGAGGATAGGACTGATTCTGAGGGGCTTGGCTTCAGCTCGTGCGCTGCGCCCCTTACCCGAGTATGTGCTCTTAATTTCAGATTAGTGTCCGAAGAAGGTCCAAAGACATCCGAAGGCATGGGAAACTTCAGAAGGACTTTCCGGATGGGTATAAGTAACTCCGGATGAGCGCGGGAAAGTTCTGGAGGAACTTCTGGAAGTTACGATGAGGTTTCGTCCTGATATGGATATGTATAATGGCTACTCAGGACTTGTTCTGAGTAGAAGTAAATAGAGGAAAGGCTACAAGGACAAAGTCCAAAGCAGATTAGGTCCGGAGGACCGTGGGAAAGATCTGGATGGACTTCCAGAAACTATGGAGGATCAGATGAGCGGATGAGCAGAGTATCAGATAAGTAGAGCTCCAGCCTAGGGAGAAACTCCCTAGGCCTGAGATGGATAACTACTAAGTTGGAAGACTAGAACTGATATGAGGACTTAGAGTGAGATCTAGTGCGAGGACTAATATGATATTCAGACTGAGGAACTACAGGACATATACAAGAGTTTATATACTAAGTGACTATCGGAAAGATCAATAGGCAAAAGTCCAAGGCTATGTACGAAGCATAAGCAAAGTTATCAAATGCGAGTCGGAATGAAGCATAGGTTAATGGATCAGTAAGCACACCGGTAGTAAGTATAACCGAGGTACCTGCAACAAGGAATACCAGATAGGCTGTGTTAAGGTTATATGCACAGGAATTGAATTAAGAAGCTTATTGTATATCAGATAGAAAACAGATCTATACATTGGATTGGATCGGATATGGTCCGGATGAGATGTGTAGACATATGGGTAAGGGCAAATGATGCAGGCTAACTGCAGAGGTATGGAGGTCTGATGTATAGAGATACAGGGGTCTGGATGTAGATGTGTGGATGTGGATATGCAGAGGTGCAGGGATCCGGATGAGTAGAGGACTGGAGATATAGATAAGGTGTCTGAAGGTCCAGACAAGGTGTGGGAATATTGTCGGATGTAGGTCCGGAATACGGGATATGACATATACCCCTAATTTCTATCATCCCCTTCTCTCCTTTGGGATTGCATTTCAGATGAGCTTGATGCACAGCATACTAAACGACAAAGTCTTCACTACTGCCCTCATCATGTTGTGTGGGTTCAGGTCCCATGTGAGCAATTGAACATCTTGCTGTTTTATTACCTTGGTGGCATCACACTGGGTGAATTCATCAACTTCCTGGCGACCCTGCCCAATCCTTCCGCCATTTACCTCTTCCCAGTGTTTGATCTCATGTATTTCAGTGTGAATGTATACACTTTTGTTTCATGTAATGTATCCCCACTAGAGCTCAAGAATCTTGCACTGCTTTATCCATTTCACTTACACACATCGACCTCGGCTGCTTCAATATATGCGCCTTAGATGATGATGATCTGCTTTCTCTCTCCCTTGCCTTACCTCAAATTGAAAGCCTTTGTCTCGGCTGTTCTCACTACTAGTCAACCCCCCCTAGGGCATCACTAGCCGGTGTCTCATCCCTTCTGCTGCATTACTGTGTTTTGAGTAATCTTAGGCTTGTGTTTAACTGCAGTCTAGATACATTGGACTTAAATTTTCTCCCTGTCAATAAGTTGATCAACATGCTCACTGAATCTTACAGATGTATACATAGAGCCCACTAACCCTAACATATCTGAACTTCACTACATTACTCAGTAGGAGATCCTACCTATCAGACGATGACCTCTACTTGTGACTTATTGTGTAACTTATGTAAGCAACATGAAATATGATTGACATAGACATACTTGGACATTTTTGGACACCATAGCTTTACCAATCTGCTGTTTGATATTGCTTTGGAGTTCATTTGATTGAGTCCACTCATGTCCCAGATATGAAAGAATTTGAGAAACTAGAATAATTTGACCTTAGTCTGAAGTTGTGATTTGCTATCCAAAACTTACTTTCTCATTCTATGTCAAGCCTGAGATCTCTGCTTTCTTCTTTCCCTTGTTCAGTACCACATCATTTTGATAAGCTTTGGGGAACATGGTAAAATTTAATACCTTTTCTTCATTTGACCTTTGACTTTGATTATTTTTGTTAGATTTACTGGTCTGAATCAAATATTAAGAAAATTGCTATTAATATCAAACAAAATAAGAAACTCACCAGCATTTCATCATTCTTCTTAACAGACTGAATATATCTTGATGACTGCTTGGATTTTTCTTTGGATTTGATTTGGAGCTGGTTGGGAACATAGGTGACAAAATGGTAGACAAATTGGTCATTAAGACTTTTGATGAAAATCAAAGTGGCCTTGGATGTTTTGCTAGTGATTGGCTGCTCAGCTGATTCTTCCTGGCTAGATAAAGATAGGGATTGAATAGAAGATGATCTCTTATACTCTTCCATTATGTAAAAAAGAAGAGGGAGAAACTTGAAACTACAAATCATCTTTAGATAAAGGTGAAGAGTTTGGTGGAGTAGATGCCAGATGACCCAATTCTTCTGAATAGTCAAGACTACCTGTGGGTGAAGAAAGTGCAACTTCATCTAGTGCCTCCAAAGACAAGTACAACAATGAGATATTTTCAAATGAAGTTTTCTCACTCATCACTTGGTCTATAACCTGGTGATGTGATGATTCAAAATTTTCAGATGGCTTTGCAATGAAGAAAAAGTAATGAATCATGAAAAAATATGTGAGTTTAAAATACTACCCAGATGTATGCAAATAAAATTGTGATTGCATCACATCAGGCAGTGCAACAGTGGCCTTTATAGCTGTCTTTATTTCTCCTATGAGTGTCTCCATAACTTTTGCCACCAAGACAGTTGCTTACTTTAGATAGCAACAAAAACTTTTTGACACTTGAAAGCCTCTTGCTTACAAATAAAGTCAATAGATAGCCAAATTGTTGACTAGGAGAGGAGCCATAGCTGCCATATTAGCATATCTAAAAGGTCCTTGGCCATGTTTGGGATACCACTTAGTCATCAAGAAGAATTTATGAACTGCCTCTCCAACATCCATCTGGGGATTTGATATATGAAGCTACTCCAAAGCAGGAAGCCATAGTGTGTGGCATGCCAAGTTTAACATTGAATCAACATCTATAGGAGTACATTCTTCTCCACTTTCAGATTGATAATCATCAGCTAGACTATCATCATCTTCCAACTGAGATAACAAATCTTCTGTCTTGAATGATGATCCATGTCTTTAAATATATTCTTCTAGAATATCGGATAAATCATTATATGCGATATGATGACTCAAGCTATTTATGTGTGTCTGAAAGGATGATATGCTAGACACTTCTTTTTCATGACTTACATTAGATAGCATTTCTGAGCTCCCCTTCTGAGCTCTCCTCTGATGATAGTTGCAGCTGAAGCCAAAAGCTTGGAATGACAGATGAATTAGAAGGAACATCTTCTGAGTTAGAAAAAGAAGATGTTTTATAATTCAGTGTTCCAACAATGGCAACAGTGTGAGTGCAATTCTTCGACATCTACTATGCTCCTCTCAGCCTTGAGACAAAGACCTATATACACCTGGACTTTGTCTGCTTGTATTAGCTGTGATGAAGGTTAGAATGATTGATTGAGCAGTTGACTTAGCATTCTGAGACCTAGTGCTGATATTGCAGATGCAATCATGTATCCATTTGGAATGTCATAAAAAATGAGTAAAGGCATCATTATTGTACTATTGTTATTGGCTCATAGCATAAGAGCGGGTGAATACAGAAGATATTTTCCAGATACTGAGGTGATAATTAAGGACAAAAACATTCATAGCAGGTCATATGTCCTTTTGCTATGATACAGTGTATGGTATGACTAGAGGATATGATGGAATAGTACATCACTCTATGCATCATCTAATGTTATGATACCAATATCTCATTGCTGCTCTGGAGTAAGTGGCCACTGATACCAGACACCTTCATAGTTCTGTAATTGAGCCCCATAGATCCAGCTTGGACAGGAGACACCCCTCACGGACTCCTTGCATATGAGACATCAATATCTAATCTTTGTCTACACCCAATGCTTCCCATAATGCTGTTTTCCTTGTAGATGGAAAATCATGTTATATGCTGGAGTCTGGCAGATTGCATTGAAGCAGTGGAGGATATCAAGGCCCTAAGGTCTGCCATCCCTGAGGTTTGAGTATCTAATCACCCTTGTATCATCCACACAATATCTCTTCTTATTGCTGTTGATCTGAAAATCTGAAAATGACAGCAACACTGGTGAGTGATGTAGTGCATGTTTGTCCCTCCTGAACGACTCCTCCAGGGCATCCCACAACTTCATGTCATACACATAAACATGTTCCATGGATCAATTTAAAGCAGAAACAATGAACATAGATACTCTAGCAAATGTGAGAACAAAGTCAAATATATCACTAAGACATGGTGTTTTAGAAATAGCTTAGAATCATAAGATGACTAAATGCACTCTTTAACCATGTACCTTAATAACTTGGCGCTTTTGGTTACCTTCCCTATTGAATCATATGAACATATGACAAGTCCTTGAACACACGGACCAGCTCCAGGTGTCTCATTGATCAAAGAAATGGCTTGAGTTGCAGCCCATAAATTATCCTATCCTATGTAATTATGAGAAGCTTGTTGTGAAAAATATTCAGTGACAACTATTTGGATATAAATTGTCACCTACTAACCTTGTGAATCGGTAGTGATCGTGGATTCTTCTCATTCTCAGACACAACAAGATTCCCAGTCTCAGTATCTGAATGGTTGTTGACAAAGATTAAAATATTTCCCTCATATTTAATTTCATGCAGCCATTTGAAGTGCGGCATCATGGCGCTCAGAGAATTGTTCCCGGCTTTGAGTGTTCATGTTGTGATGCAGATCTATTAATCCAAATTTCAGATATCCCAATGACAATAACAAGTAGTATAAATATAAATGATGTACCCTGCTTGGGTCGACTTTGAAGTGCTCCTTGAGCATTGTTTGTACAGTAGACATGCTCATAATGCATAAATAAATAAAATACAAACAAATCACTAGAAAATCATTCTTGGGTGCAAAAAATTATCCATTAACAGCAATATATGGACCAAGCTCATTTCTACGAATGGATGACTTGGTGTGTCTCGAAAAGATTGGATCCTGATTTGTTATAATTTTTTATGCATTATGCATTATGAGCATATCTACTGTACTATATTCAAGGTGTAAGGGCTCCTAAACCTACTCCAGGACAAAAATACTGCAAGAAGCAGAAAATAATTCCAATACAGAAAACTCAGTCTAACTGAATATCCCTAAACTTTGTACTGTTGGAATATCAATGTAATATGCTGTAGAGACTGATATCTCTGTAGACTTGCAGAGGCTATATATGCGACCTGTCTCAAAGTACAGTTTGGTGCACAACTTGTGCCAATACCTTTCCAATCATTCCCTATGTGAAGCACAACTCTCCTGCGATAAGCGCGTATTATGTTCCCATACATCAGCTGCCCCAAGTGCTGCATTCTCATGTGCGCTAAGCACACTTTCCCGCAGTCAAAGTGCCCTATGTCGCACATCTATCCATTGTCCAAACTAACCCCACTAGTACATGTTCATATTATTTCTCCATATCAGACTATATTATATTCTAATGATTGCTCAATTCTCATGTCGTGGACACTGATTACATACTCTACCTACTCACTTTGGCTCCACTTCAGGGGTGCATTTTTAGACATATATAAGCACCTGTAGTTCATATTTTACATCATTGAATCATATAGAAGCTCCCTGCACCTCACTATTAGTGTAAAAGCTCATCTGTCACATGTCATAGTCAGTATCTATTGGCAATAAGAATATCCTGAGTGCCTATTATAAACCTTCCTTATAAAATCCACCTCACACTTTTCCCGCACTTTGTGCCACTTAAGCGCTCCATACCCACGCTCATGCTTTACATCGACTAACAAACAGCACCCTTTGCACCAACCCCTAGATCCTTGTTGCACTTGCTTCCCCTTTAGGGTCAAATGTACTTATCACTATAAGCATAGCAGCTTAGGCAAGCAAGACCAAACACATAGTGCAGTATATCACCATCTGAATTGTTGTTTCTACAATACTGTCCCTTATGTGAAGCTGATGTACTCACCTGAATTGCTTGATCAGCTGCATGATGACACTGTGGGCATTTGAGTGTCTTCTCTGTGAAATTTGCCCAACCAGTTAGTGGATCCGGAGAGCAATCAATACACCCATAGTCTCCTGGTGTCTTCTTAGATAGATAATCTATAGATAAATACCTATATAAACAAATATCTCCATGGTCAGTAATGCAGACAAATACCAATGACTGATAATATGGTTGTTCATGGGTGACTTATGGCATCACACTGGCGCTGTAAGTGGCTCACTTGTAGTAGTTGTTTCTTGTTGGCTGAACTGTTGTTGGGTATTCTGTGTCTTATTGGTTCTGTGCCTTCATGGGCATCACACTGGTGCTGTCAGTGGCCTCCAAGTTTGGGTGATTCTTCCTTCTCTGTTTTGGCTGCACTGTTGTTGGATTTCCTGTGTCTTGTTGGTTCCGCACCTTTATGGGCATTATGCTGGCACAGTTAGTGGCCTTAGAGCTTGTATGATTGTTTCTTGTCTATTGGGACCCTCTGTTGGCTGTCGTGTTATCTCTATTATTTGTTGGCTCTGTCCTTTACCCAGTGTCCTTCAAGTTTGATCACCCATGCTTCTTATCAAACTAATCACTCGTCCCTGTCTTATGCATTATTGTTTGAATTTGGATGTTCCCCTCCTGTATGGCTAGTCTTTTCACAATAATAATTTTCCTTTGGGTTGTATGTGTCCTGCTTATCTGTCCTCATGTGGTTTGTGCAGCCTGGCATGTAATTTTTTATTTCTATGTTCCTTCTACACATTTGTCATATTCTTGTAATGAGTATTTTGACCATGATAAATGTCTGTTTGACTGCTTTCCACTTCTGAGTTACCATGATTTGATGATACATATTTCATGAAATTTGAGCACTATCTGGATGCCCAATTCTCCCCCATCATTTGATGATGTAATGTCCAGCAGCGTAACTTCATATGATATCTGTCTCTGTCAGTGTATTACATGATTAATATGATCATCTGTCCTTTCAACCATAAACCTGGTCTGCTTGTCACAAAGAGATCTCTACTGATATTGTAGGGAGATTTTCATTACCCCTGTCAGGATCACCTTCTTAATAACTTCCAGTATCGGCTGCCACATTAGTTTCAACATAGCCTTCAACATCACCTTCAAGTTTGATGTCTTTGTGTGAGTCTGTGACCCGAATGGCTCTTCTGAAAAAGTGTGGATTGCCAGTAAGACAGGAGATTGCAACTGGATCAGACCTATCAATT